TGTGCTAAGTGAGTGAACATCAAAGATCACACAACAGAATTGCGCGCGCTCTCTCTCTCTCTCTCTCTCTCTCCCTACCATTAAGTAACTTGTGCATTGTTTTACTTACTTGTTTTTGACATAACCGACCGAACTGCAAACTTTCCAGGGATGTCTGTGAGAAAGATATATTCACTCGACAAGCTCACGCATCTGCGCCGCCGCGCGCTCAATCCACTCAGCGTGATTTGTTTATCAGCTCGCGCACACCAGCTATACAGGCATTAATACTGAATGTTTAGCATTATATTCATTGCATAATTATACTTCGTAGTAGACATCCTTAACTCCTTTCTGCTGTCTGTTGTTCTGTTGTCGGTGTTTCTTTGTTTGAATATGGCGCTTATCACATGCTGTGTGGTATCGGCGTTTGGTATCGTGGCATTTTAACGAGTACGAGTGCATCCCTAGTTAATACATTATCAGTGGTTCTAAACGGATGGATCTTGGTGAGTCAATCCTATAAAAATCAGTTCTTTGATTCTGAGACATTGAGATTATCTCCATTATCTTGATTTCCAAAATACTACATGTCTTTGAAGAACCTTAAAGGGGTCATCGGATGCCCATTTTCCACAAGTTGATATGATTCTTTAGGGTCTTAATGAAAAGTCTATAGCATACTTTGGTTAAAATTTCTCAATGGTAGTGTAAAAAACACCCTTTTTACCCTGTCAAAATCAGCTCTGTTTTCAGCAAGCTGTTTTTTAGTCCATGTCGCTTTAAATGCTAATGAGCTCTGCTGACACAGGCCCTCTCTTTCGTGGGATGACGAGCAGACTGTAAACTTCAGCCGTAAACTGTAAACTGGCTAACTAGCACATTATTAGGAAAGGCGATTTGCAAAGATTCATAAAAAACCCTTATACTCACTTCTTCTGTAGATGAAACTGGATCACAAATGATTCGCGCAAATATAGACGCATTTAGGCAGATCGGGATCAGCGCATTCCCTTCAAAAACGAAAGTAACATTAATCCTTCAGAATTCTCAGATGTCGGGAGTAAATGACGACTGCTTTATTCATTATTACACCCAACAACAAAACACCTCAGTCACTTAATCGGAGACATTCTTGTCTTCCCCTGCACCGGAGTCGACACAATGGCGGACTGATGACAGCTCACTCAAGGTAAGAAGGCCTTGTCAATCAACCATCGTGGGAGGGGCCTGTGCAGAACTACGTCATTCTGACAGGAATCTCAGACCAGCCTGATTTGAGAAGGGGATTTTAAAACAGGGATTTAAAAAAAAACACTGGCTGGATTTTCATCATTATAGGATGGATGTGTACACACACTTCCAACACATTTATGCTCAAACAACTTGTAAAATGAATTTTGCATCCGATGACCTCTTTAAAGGAATAGTTCACCCAAAAATTTTAATTCTGTCATTAATTAATTACAAACCTTCATGTTGTTCTAAATCTATAAGACCTTCGTTCATTTTCAGAACACAAATTAAGATATTTTTGATGAAGTCCGAGAGCTTTCTGACCCTCCATAGACAGCAAAACATCTGAAAGCTTCAAGGCCCAGAAAGGTAGTTAGGACATTGTTAAAATAGTCCATGTGGCATCAGTGGTTCAACCGTAATTTTATGAAGCTACGAGAATACTTTTTGTGTGCAAAGAAAACAAAAATAACAACTTTATTCAACAATTTCTTCTCTTCCATGTCAGTCTTCACCATGTGCATTCCTCTGCTTGTAAACAAAAAAAAATGCACAAAATGAAATGCAACTAACCATATAATAATGCATAGCTTATATTTCACAACTGGCACTCAGAAATCTTTAATATCTACATTTTTAGAAAGAAAATTATGTATACCCATTAAGCAGGAAGCAAAAATCAGACACACATTGTCCCAAAACAGCAACATTTACAGTAGCCTCTGTCTCTGGCATTTATCAGACATTCATGGATCACTGCTCTTTACTAACGAGTCTTTGATCAGGCGCATGAGCGGCAGATTTTTTTAACATTCTTTGGCAAGGAGACTCATGCGTAGCGACACATCTGTGCTGCAACCGCATGCGCAGATAGTTGCTCCTCAGCTGATGTTTGGACAGGTTCTTACAGTAATGTTTAAAATCCATTTTCAAAGAACTTGCTGAGAGATGACTCGCACATCTAGAAATATTTCAAATTTGTGCGCTTATCTTTTATTTCATATGCATAAGGTTTCACTGCAATTACACTGAAATGAAGATGATCATTTTGATAGTTTATTGAATATAGGAAACTCTGTAGGAAATATCCAACAAGGAAAATATTTAGTCATTTATGGCAAAAATGATATTTCAAGATGAGAACAATGCTTTCTTCTTTCGCCAAGAGGGTTTTTTCAGGATTGAATACAAATTAGCTGTCAATCTTCACATTTACTTTAGCCTTTAGCTATGAAAACTACTTTAAATCAGCCTCAGTCAGTTTTGATTTACATCAATATGCATTCTTACCAAACAGAGGTCTTTTTATTGTATTTTAAGGCTTTATTTTCTCATGTTTTTAAAAGTTGAGAGTGAGATCAACAACTTTTGCTTGTTCTAGTCTAAACAAATACTTCTTCAGTTCTCCTGAGTCACCCTCCTAAAACCCATGCAGTGTCATCTGATGTGATTTGCTGCATCTAATGTTTCATGTGACTCCAGTAAATAATATCTGAGTATGACATCTGTTTGATGTTTATTAGCTGAATTCCTTTTTTTTAGGTCCAAAATGTGCCTTTGAGCAAGTCATTTTACCCAAGGTTACTTCAAAAATTGACTCTGAATATTTATGTGTATTAAATATATCAAGAATATTTTATGTAATGTAAAATATGCTGGTTGTATTCTGTTGTTTCTGTACTATGTTTTTTAACAGAAACATGTGACCCTGGACCACAAAACCAGTCATAAGAGTCAATTTGTTTATACATCATCTGAAAGCTGAATAAATAAGCTTTTCATTGATGTATGGTTTGTTAGGACAGGACAATATTTGGCCGAGATACAACTAATTGAAAATCTGGAATCTGCAAAAAAAATCTAAATATTGAGAAAATCGCCTTTAAAGTTGTTCAAATGAAGTTCTTAGCAATGCATATTACTAATCAACAATTAATTTTTGAGATATTTACGGTAGAAAATGTACAAAATATCTTCATGGAACTTGATCTTTACTTAATATTCGAATGATTTTTGGCATAAAAGAAAAATCGATAATTTTGACCCATACAATGTTTTTTTGGCTATTTCTAAAAATATACTCAAGCGACTTAAGACTGGTTAAGACTGGTCCAGGGTCACATATAAGACAGAAAAATGTCATTTAAACTCAAATCAATATTCCCTGTCCATTAACACCCAGTTTTTTTTGTCATAGTGCTCCATTGTATATCATCATTAACTTATTATGAATGTGTGTTTTCTCAGGAATGGGTCCGGTCCACATGAATGAGGTGGAGTGCTCTGGATTTGAGAAATCTCTCACTGACTGTTACTTCAATAATGATGCTCTGGGCTGCAGTCATGAGGAGGACGCTGCCGTACGCTGTAATATACCTGCCATGGGTTTCCAGAAGAGGGTGAGGACTCTTCCTACATACAGTATTCAGTTCTAACAATAGTTAGCCATTCACGAATCAGTAAGATTATGAAGCTATGGATACTTTTGGCTACTACAGATACGTCTAAGCGGAGGAAGAAACCTATACGAGGGACGTGTGGAGGTTTCGATAATTTTGACCCATACAATGTTTTTTTGGCTATTTCTAAAAATATACTCAAGCGACTTAAGACTGGTTAAGACTGGTCCAGGGTCACATATAAGACAGAAAAATGTCATTTAAACTCAAATCAATATTCCCTGTCCATTAACACCCAGTTTTTTTTGTCATAGTGCTCCATTGTATATCATCATTAACTTATTATGAATGTGTGTTTTCTCAGGAATGGGTCCGGTCCACATGAATGAGGTGGAGTGCTCTGGATTTGAGAAATCTCTCACTGACTGTTACTTCAATAATGATGCTCTGGGCTGCAGTCATGAGGAGGACGCTGCCGTACGCTGTAATATACCTGCCATGGGTTTCCAGAAGAGGGTCAGGACCCTTAAACTCTCCTTACATATTCTATTATTGTTCTAACACTAGAACTTTCACAAACTGGTACTTTTGACTATAACAGATACGTCTAAGCGGAGGAAGGAACCCATATGAGGGACGTGTGGAGGTTCTGACTGAGAAGAACAGTTCTCTGGTTTGGGGAACCGTTTGTAGTGAAAACTGGGGGATAGTCGAGGCCATGGTGGTCTGCAGACAGCTGGGATTAGGCTTCGCCAGCCATGCGTTTCAGGTAAATCTACCCATTGAATGAATGAATGAATGATGCATTTATATAGAGCTTTATTGTGTATTGTTGTACACCCAAAGCACTTTACAATCATATGGGGGGTCTCTCCTCAACCACCACCAGTGTGCAGCATCCACTTGGATGATTGGCATAAAAGATCCATCCACATCCACATTGAAGTGCTCACTAGTCTTTTCTTGCGGCAAAATTGCCAGAAATTCCCCCAAAAAGCTTGATTGTTCAGTAGTGTAGAGATATAGATGTGGAGATTTCAAGCCGGGCAGATTTCTGTTGGTCAACATGGCAAATTCGCATGACTAAAGGTCCTTGCACACTGAGTTTTTTTTTCATACTTGTCATCTTTTCCTATCAAAATGCTTGCTACAGATGCGAAAACGCAGAAAATCGAACCCGAACTGATTTTTTTTATGACGGACGAACGTTTCGGAGGCAGTGTGTAAACGTGATTGACACAACGTGAGGTCATATTTATTTTTTAATATAAAAAATATTGTTTTTTTTTTTTTAGCGCCACCATTCTCACCCTTTTGTGCAACAGCAGCTGCTCCGGCACATGATCTTAGCTCAAATCTAATTGGACAGCCCGTTTCGTCTTGGAGCAATAAGTGAAAAAATCGACACACAGGACGAAAAGAAAAAAGCTCGCTTTTGAGGCGCGATCATTCCCGGTGTGAATAGCCTCATACGGAGCTGATGTTTTGATTCAAAAGCGCCATCGGGCCGAATTTTCGCATTCAGTGTGAAAAGGCCTTAACTCTAACCCATTGCAAAATCTGTTTGAGGAAAACTTTTACCCTCAAACAAAATTCCTGATTGCGTGGATTCCTATTAAAATGACTAGATTTCCCCTTAAGATTCGCCAGAGAACAATACAAGTTGATTTCAACACTCAATCCAGCATATTTGACCATCTAATGAAGGACCACCTTCAGTAGTGCTAAACTTTCAATTGCCACAATGAATCATCATAGTGTTCGTATCCCGCATTCGTATGAGACTATTTTGGGGAACTTGGTGTAGATGAAGGACTTTAATGAGGGCACATGCCATGTAGTCAGTGTGGTGTCCCCATTTAATCCACCACAAGTTTCCTGGATCCCGTAACTCTATTAAATCCTATTCATTTCAATAATTAATATTTGAATGTGCGTGTAAGATCACACAGACTGTCTAGGGCTGAGATGGCTGGACTAGAGATGGATATTTAACTGCCCAGTAAGAAACTCATGGTGATACAGGCCTGGAAACTATTAATGCATTAGAAATGGTATGGAGGGAATAGCTTGATGGGCGGTTTTATGAGTGGAAATTGGAAAAGGCTAAAGTACTTTTGCAGGGTAATGCCATGATTAAGTGTTATTATGATGATTGACTGAAATTTGCCACTAGCTGAGGCACATGGCTGCATGTCAAGACATTATGGCCTTAACGGCTTCAACTTTGGGACACAAAGCAGTTAGATCTCATGTCACTCATGGTCATTATAAGTCCCTCTTGAAAAGGCTAGTGTAATGAATCATTCAGGTTTATGCTAGTGTGGCATTGGTTTAACTGGAGCCCTGCTTAAGAAAACAGCCCAAACTGATTTGTTGGTCTTATTTGGTCTCCCAGCTGGCCTTTTTAGCTGGTTTTAGAGTTTAACCAGCCTAGGCAGATTTAATCTGTTTTTCAGCATTGTAGACCAGCACATTTTAATTAAAGCTGTACAACTATGATGATCTTCCTGGTGAAATGCTTGACCAACTAGTCAATTTGAAGTCCAATGGGGGCTTTTTCTCCAAATTCAATTTATTTATTTCAAATTAATGTTTGTTCTTTTGAGCTTTTTATTAATCAAAGAATCTTGAAAAAACATTATCACGGTTTCCACACGGTTTTCAACACTGATAATGTTTCTTGAGCAGCAAATCAGCATATTAGAATGATCTCTGAAGGATCACATGACACTGAAGACTGGAGGAATCACAGGAATAAATTACATTTTTAAATATATTCAAATAGAAAACAGCTATTTTGAATTGTAATAATATTTCACAATATTACTGTTCTTACTTTATTTTTAATCAAATAAATACAGCCTTAGTGAGCATTAGAGACTTGAAAGCAACTTAAATTATGCATTAACAGGGAAGTTTGTTCACTGACGTGCTGTTGGTCACGTTTTCTGTTACCAAACTTGAAAAGTGCAAGATACAACTTCCAGATGTCAGAGTGGCCATTAAACATTTGTCTGACAGTCTGGACCGGTGGGTCTTTCTTTCCAGACAGTATGTGTGGAGGGTTTTACAATGGCGAGAGTTGAAGGAAGCACATGGAAAGTCTGACAGAATGTGCCCACATTCCCCCTGCCCACGGCGGGAGTCCAGCAGGCTTATCTTTCAGAGGAGGCTGTGACTCAGCGCTGTGCAGTCTAAGACAAAACACATTGAAAACACACCATAATACTGGATGATTACTCATCATGAACATATGTTTGTGCAGTCAAGAACACTGACAGAGACTTTCCCATCTTGTGGGGTACGGCATGTCTTGTTTCAGACATCTAAACTTATGCAACAGATGTAATGAAAAGCAATCTTGGGAGCAGATGCTCAAATCACATTCGGGAACATTCAGTTGATCTGGAAAACGTTATTAAACAGCCCCCGTTTGGTGAGAAGGCGTAATGACACCCAGATATCCATTGTCCTAAGTTTGCTTCAGGCTTATTATAGTTTAAAGGGGTCATATGATGCAATTAAAATTTTTTCCTTTCTCTTTGGAGTGTTACAAGCTCTTGGTGCATAAAGAAGATCTGTAAAGTTGCAAAGACTAAAGTCTCAAATCCAAAGAGATATTCTTTATAAAAGTTAAGAGTTAACCACGCCTACCTAAAACGGCTCGTTCTAACACCCCCCACGTCTACGTCACGATGTGGGAAGATTTGCATAACGCTGCCCAAATGTCACATGTGGTTGCTGCAAGCTCCTTCGTCGAATCCGCCGGCTGCGCCGTTCTCAAGCCCGCCGCCTCTGCTCACTCAAGGCCGCGGTGTGTGACGATGTGTTTCGTTGTGAAAGCGAAACTACTTTGGTTGGCCTTCCAAAAGAGGACACAACTAGAAATCAGTGGTTAAGTTGTATTTACAACACTGTTCCAGAACAGTTCAACCCAATATTCAGATGTGTGCAGCACATTTTATGGAGGACTGTTTCCTGATCCTGGTAGAGTAGACTACAATGCCGGCTGTTCTGACTCAAAGACTGTAAGTACGTTTTTTATATTTAAAGAATTTGCCACTGATGATTCAAACGCGAGTTTTTTGAGCAGTGTAGAGTAGCACTTGTTGTTTGTCATTTCTCCGATCACAAATGGTTTTATGTTTACGCGGCGCGATGCAACGCAACACAACACGTAAAAAGACCGTAATTATGTCCCCACTGGATGCAACAAATGCTTCGTTTATAATGGGTTTTAATGTTTTTGTCTCGTCACTCCGGTAAAACTGAAACCATAAAAAAGCAAAACCTTTTTTGTTATCTGATATAAAACTCATTTTAAATAAATGTATATAAATATATTTATATATTTTAAATAAATAAAATACCGTAAACTTATTTTAATTAATAAAAAAAATTATGTACTGATGTACTAAAATATCTAAAACTAAATCTGAAATAAAAAAAAATATTAAGAATGACAAAAACACACACAAAAAAAATAAAACTTTAACAAAACTTGAAATAAAAATATAAAAATAAAAACTAATATATTAAAAACTATAATAGTATCTAATTGATACTAAAAAATAACACTGGTTTACATTAGATTCGGAGTCAGATGCTTTTTGATGTGATTGAAGAAACAAAATGACCAAACCAGCACATTAAAGGTTGTCCATTTGTGTTCTGTTCCTTACAATAGTTCTCAGATGTGAACAGAGTGAAACTGAAGTCTAACCAAATCAGTGAACAAATGATTCTTTTCTGGTTCAGAGACCAGAATGATTATTTTACCAGTTGCATTTTATCTTAATGACAGTGCAAAATAAATAAATAATAAAATAACCTAATTTCTCTGATAATCTCAACAGCTCATGTGTAACGTGTGTTTGTACAGGAGACGTGGTACTGGGCTGGAGATGCGAGTGCAGATAATGTTGTGATGAGCGGGGTCAGATGCTCAGGAACTGAGATGAGTCTTCCTCAGTGTCTTCATCACGGCAAACACATCAGCTGCCCTAAAGGAGGAGGACGCTTCGCTGCTGGGGTCTCCTGCTCTGATAGTGAGACAATCACCTCTTATTGATTATCATGCTCTTAAGAAGTCATTTCATTCCCTGCTTTTTTGACAAGCTTAATGTAATAGTAGACTAAAAAGCTGTTCCAAAGGTACACTTCCGCTATCACTTCCACTGTGACATAATAATTTTTTTTTAAGTATTTAAGATAGATCATCAGTCCCATGTCTTCTAACCTCTGACCTCTGATCTCAGCGGCTCCTGACCTGGTGCTGAATGCTCAGCTGGTGGAGCAGACCACTTACCTGGAGGACCGCCCCATGTATGCTCTACAGTGCGCCCTCGAGGAGAACTGCCTGTCCAGCACTGCCAAAAAGAACGACCACAGCTCCTACCGCCGCCTGCTCCGCTTCTCCTCCCAGATCCACAACGTTGGCCAATCAGATTTCAGACCCAAACTGGGTTACCACGCCTGGACCTGGCACGAGTGTCACAGGCAAGACCTTAGACCCCTCAGTAAACACCAGAAAGACAAACACATATATGAAGATATGATGTTACAAAATCATTTGTGCCAATGTGACGATGTTTAAAGTCCCATACTGTTGTTTTGTTGTGACTCTATGCAGGCATTATCACAGCATAGAGGTTTTTACCCATTATGATCTGCTGAGTCTGAACGGCACCAAGGTGGCAGAGGGTCACAAGGCCAGTTTCTGTCTAGAGGACACTCAGTGTGACGAGGGTGAGAACTGCTCATGAACTTGAACTGAGAAAATATATTTATGTAAATATATTTTTTTACCAAAATATTTTTTGTCTTATTTTTTTGGGGGGAAAAATTCAATACAATTATATATATATATGTATATATATATATATATATATA